AACATAATCAACAGAAAAATTAAACGAAAAGACGAATGTCAAAACTTTAAAAAGTGTGTCTCGCCCCCGGGTGGGCTCGAACCACCAACCTTTCGGTTAACAGCCGAACGCGCTAGCCGATTGCGCCACGGAGGCTTGCTACACGAAAATTATAAACAAATTAAACAAATCTTTTTTAAAACACAATCTAAACATAAACGAAATCTAAACATAGCTATAATTCATAAACATTTTTAAATTTATAACTGATAATCGTAGTAGTAACAAACACACCTGCTCTTTCTCACATATGGGATAATTTTTGCTGCTTAATTTTAAAATTGCGAAAGGAAATTAAAGAAAACAACAATTAGTTCGTTCATTATTCAAAATTAATAAAACAATCTAAATGTAGACAATAGTTATATTAATAAAAAAAAAACAAAGAAATAACATTAAATGGTTCAAAAAGACATCTCAAATGCTATTGTTCGACTGATCATAATTCGAATTTATAACAGTATCTTTCGAACAATCTGTGGTTTTGATGCGATTTTGTTCTTTCTCATACGCATAATACTCCAAAATATATAAACCATTCTATTTTTCTTTCACATATTTTTATCACTAACCATATCTTTCATTTAAAACAACTAACATCAACTTTCGCCTAGATGCTTTTATTTTATTTATTTATTTGAAAAATTACGTTTGTATGTAAACTATTTAGCATTAAAAGGAGTTGACAATTATTTGCTTTCCTAAAAAAAGTTACCGGCAAAGAAAATTTCTGAAAGCAAAATATATTATTTTATCAAACAAAATTTTATTAGAACTTATTTTAATATTATTGCCTTTATGATCTATCGAAGAATTATTATCATACTTACACGTTTTATGAAATTTGTTGTCGCATTAATAATTGAAAATAGAGGGAGCTACCATAAAGCTCTTTTCGTAATAATCTCTGGATGATTTTTCTTCCAAATTTTTCTAACAATTTATATAGTGCTGCCATCTAAGGCTTTTATACGAAAACCAACTAAAATTGTGCAAGGCTTCGTCTCCTGGAAAAAACGGTCAAAATAAGTGTAAAAGAAAGTTTAAGAGAGTTTTCCGTTTTGAATTCCTATATTTATTTATAGCTATATCATATGAGTTTTGTTCATTAAAGTTGGCTTCTGTTAATCAAAAAAGCTGATTTAAAACTATTCTGTCGTCTCTGTAGTATCATTTTAAAAATTCTGTTTTTGTAAACATTAATGAAGATAAGAGTTTTATTTTTTTATTTATTCAATGATATTCGAAAACCAAGAAATTTTAAATACCTTTCAACACAATGTCCTAACTGCAAATGTGGAAAAGTAGTAAAGCAACAAAAAAAAACTAATAACCAAAATTTTTAGTAATTTAAACTACAATTTTTTTAATTGATAATCAACAATATGTGTTATATTAATTATGTCTTATAAAAAATTGATAAATCATAGTCTCTGAATGAAAATTTCGCTACAAATTTTTCACAATTCCTCTATAAGGACGTTTTGAAAATATATCGCATGTTTAGATAGATTAAATATTTTCAAACTTTCGATTTATAACAAGAAACCTTTTTTTTTTATCTAAAAAGAAGAAGAAAAAAAAAACTGCTTCGAAAGTAGTGTTTTGCAATATCTAGTAGAAAAAGAGTGAATTCCGTTATTATAAATGCGTATTCATTAATTGATAAATTTATGTTCAGCGTATATATTAACTAATAAATTAATATTGAATTAATGAAAAAGTCATCAATTAATTAATAAATTTATGCTCAGCAAATATTTTAGAGTAAAGAACTGTAAAAAGAATTTTCTTCCTAATTAAATCCCATTTAACTTCTAGGTTTATATTTATTTACTTTAAGAATATTTTTCTATTAAATTTCGTACAAGCTTTTGTTCGTAATAATAATCTCTCTTTTTTATTTAAAAAGAAAATGCCTTGAAAGTAGTTTTTAACAATATCCAGCAAAAAAAGTATAAATTCGTTCAATTATTCATTAGTTAATAAATTTATATTCAGCAAATATTTTGATTTAAACAATTGTAGAAATAAATTTTTTGCCAAATTCACACTCACGTAATTTCTATGTTTTAATTAATTAATTTATTTTAAGAATTTTCTTCTTCTTAAATTTCGTACAATCTTTCGTTCGTAATAATCATCCCTCTATTNAAAAAAAAAAAAAAAAAAAAAAAAAAAAAACAAGCCTTGAAAGTTGAAAGTAGTTTTCTTCAATGTCCGGCAGAAAATTACAAATTCGTTTAACTATAGTAATTAATTCGTGAATTTGTATTCAGCAAATATTTTAACGTAAACAACTATTAGAACACTTTTTTTCTTACAATTTCACTTTATTTACTTTTTTTTATTTGTATTTTTAATTTATTTTCTATCTTTATTGAATTATTTTACATTTCTGTGCTGTGACACAAAATTTTAGGAGCTTCTCAACTTTTTGAAATTAAAAAAAAAGAAATTTAAACTAAGTTTTCATTTGTTTCACATTTAATTTTGGAACATAAAACGTTATTGCAAAAATGTAAACTTGGTCGTTAATGGATTAAATCTCCATCAATTCGATTCATTTGTAACTATAATTGCGCAATTTTGTTTTTAAATGATGCGCCACCTGTATTGTGTTTGTCCCCATAAATGCGTAAGGAACTTCACGATGAGTAAGCACGTTTGGCCTTAAATTGTACAAATAGAAAAGGAAATTTAAAAAATTGTGTTTTCTTCTAAAACTGTGCAGAAATAATTTTCATAAAAATCTGATACATACAGCAATAATTTTAACTCAGTTTTTGTAACCTCAGTATATATTTTATCATGCAAGTGCACACTCTGACATGCCTTTGATTCATGTATCTTCCATCAGGCAAATCATGCTAAAAAAATAGTTTTGATTCAACATTAAAATATATTAAAAGAGTAAAACAAACTGTGATTTATTTAATATTTTTTTAATTCACTTTCAAAATTTGAGTTTTGTAAAAAAAACAATATGTTAAATTTTTGTCAAAAACTAGGTTCGAACCTAGTTTTTCTAATATATAGTTAGATCTAACCAATAATTATTTTTTTTGAAACTAATTTTAAAGATGTTCCATTTGACATCTAAAAATACGTTTCAAAATTACGAAAAAAATTAGACACTTGCAAGATAAAATATACAATTATACAAGGCAGCACAATGCAAACCATGAGAATAAATACAAAATCTAATAATAAGATCAAAATAAATTCTGATGTTGCTGTAGTTGTAGTTCATTTACGTCGCACTAGAGCTGCACAATTGGTTATTGGCGACGGTCTGGGAAACACCCCTGAGAATGATCTGAAGACATGCCATCACAATTTTGATCCTCTGCAGAGGGGATGACACCCCCGTTTCGATAGCCCAACGACCTGCACGCGAAGTCGAGCACTTTACGGTAGAACACTTTAACGAGGATCAATACCGCACACCCTCGGTCACTATTTAGACTGCTCCAAGTGGTCACCCACCCTCACACTGACCGTAACCAGTGATGCTTGACTTCCGTGATCTGCTGGGAACCGTGTCTTAACAATCAGTCAGTCCACTGCGGGACAAATAAATTCTGAAAAGTTGTTTCATTAACGCGTCTTGGAGAAAAAGTAAAAAAGTGAGGAATCAAGCAATGATGACATAAATCAAAGAATCATAAAAGCTAAAATCTCTCTCAGAAGCCTTCAAAAATTTTGGAGATCTTAAAATTTAAAAATCAACACGAAATTAAGTATTTTTAAAGATGTTGTTCGCTCCATACTTTTGTTTGGTGCTGAATGTTGGTGACTCCGGAAAACTGAAATAGAAAAATTGGAAACATCACATTACAAATGCTTAAGAATTATTTTAAAAATCTTCTGGCCTAACACTATTTAAAATTAAGATCTATTTGAAAGGATCAAACTATTATCTATTCATAACTAAATTTTTTAAAGAGATTAAGATGGAGAGGACATAACCTTCGTTTGAAGAGGGATAGCCTTCGCAGCATCGCGCTTACATGGGCACCCGACGGAAAACCTAAAATAGGAAGGTCTAGACTTACTTGGTTGAGATACAAGCACTAAGATCTGTATAAAGCAGAATTAAATGAATTAAAGGAGGACTGGCTCAGATCAGAGGTGCCTGGAAAAAGAGTGTTGAGGCCTTATGTGCCAGCTGGCGCGAAAAGGACAGGGTGATTTGAAATGTTTTAATAAGTATTTCTTACGGCTGCTCCAAATGCAGGTTAGCTCTCTCAAAAGAGTACTCGACGAAAACAGATTTCTCGCAATACTTGATCCAAGATTTCCCTTGTGTTCTAAATTGGGTTCAAAATTACAAGTCTAATGAGTTGAACCTTGGTGCGTTATCTCAAAACTGGGTCGGCTGTTCAATGATGGTTGTTGTTGTTGTAGCTCATTTGCGTCGCACTAGAGCTGCACAATGGGCTATTGGCGACGGTCTGGGAAACATCTTTGAGGATGATCCGAAGACGTGCCATCACAATTTTGATCCTCTGCAGAGGGGATGGCACCCCCTCTTCGGTAGCCCAACGACCTGCACGCGAAGTCGAGCAATTTGCGGTAGCACAGTCTAACGAGAACCAATACCGCACACCCTCGGTCCCTACGCAGACTGATCCAGGTGGTCACCCACCCGCACACTGACCGCAGCCAGTGATGCTTGACTTCGGTGATCTGCTGGGAACCGTGTCTTAACGATCAGTCCACTGCGGGACGTTAAACGATGGTGATGAATAAATAGATAAATCAATGGACCTAATCAAATGTAGGAAATTTAAAGGGAAAATTCCTCAAATTAGTTTTTATGTTGATAAATAAATAGGAACAATAGCGGTTGTTGAAAGAGAGAGAAAAAAATCTTACAATAATCAACTCAAAACCTAAACGTGCCAACCGTTTTTTTAGAATCGTAGTCCCTCGGCTAATTTGGCATGAATCATTCGCAATTCTTTAACTGGAACCGTTATATTTGTAATGTTTGTTGAAGTGGCGTAATCCGGTGTCTGGTTGTTTTTGTTCCGTTCCAGCATATTTCTTGGAAAATACTTCACTTTTCTCAAGTATTCTAATCAAAGACATTTAGAGGTATAAATTTTTGTAAAGTTTATTTTATATGTTAAAATTATTTATCTTAAGTCCTCTCATTTGTGTATTGGCTCCATTACACATGTGCACAAAACTTCAGTAATTAAATTTAGTATCATTTCTTTTTTAGTATTGAACTGTTACAGTGTTGTTGAATGGTTATTTGTTACGCACGATCCTGCGTGTGTATTACAATTGTTGAATGATTATTTGTTCTGTAGTGTATCAATGTATCAAATTTCATAAAAATCGGTCCAGTAGTTCTAGAGATAATCGATCAAGTCTGCAAATTCTCTTAATTCCTTACACCAGTGTATAACAATGAATATGAAAGCCATCAATAATTAAAAAAATATATTTTTACAGTTGGCCAAAAAGAAACAAAACTAATTAAGAGATCGCACGTCACATTCGTACTAATTCATATTTATCCAATTCATATTTACTCTATTGAAAAATTACATATTGGTCATCTCGCAATTTTAAAAATTTTGCAAGGTGATTGGCATTCACTAGAGTTAAGCAAAACGAATAATCAAAGTGATTCAAATCAATAGAATTGGTTCACATATGTGATTCGTAGCAGTTGATTTTATTGGTATTTAAAATTATTATGGATTATTGCTTCTTAAATTTCAGTTACTTTTATAAAAAAAAGTGAATGTGGGCACAGTAAGTAAGAAATAACTGAAAGTATTTAAAGTAAGTGAAGTAAAGGTGGCTCATGTTCACAGCAGAACACATTACCACAATCATGCCATTGATCATGAAATTGCGCAGGCATGTGATTCTTCCTTTATTTTGCAGATTTCTGTGAATCTCGAGACCCTTGATTCTCAAACTTCCGCTAATCTAAAATTTCAATTTTTTGTTACACAAAATTTTGTTAGTGAGGCATTTATGTTGCTCTTGCCAGCACTCGCTTATTTTTTCTTGAGATCTTATTCACGTGTGATAAATACTTTTTTAACTCAGATTTATCATTGTAAAGCAGAAGTTAGGATAAACTTCAAGAGAAAAATTCCATAATAACTTTTACTAAAATTAATAACGTGCACAAAAGGAAAACACAAAACTTAAGAATTAGGTATGTATAAAGTAATTCAGAAAAGGCAAATAATCAAAAAATTGTTAATTGGAAAAAATGGTGCTTTTACTCATTTTTTTAACTGATATTTTTACGAGAAGCAATTATGTTGCAAATTCCAATTTATAACAAAAGAATTATTTAAACAAGTGATATACTTGCCCCTTTTTTTATTTAGATTTATTATTATTTTTATTGCATACTTTTAAAATCTCGATGTTTTTAATATGATATTATTTATGACAAGATTCTCCAAATTAAGGGCATTTAATTAACCCTTATTTGATGCATTCGATGCATGTGATTTTGTGGAAAATACATTTTATTTTATCATCAATCCTTTTTTCAGTTATTTCTATAAATTTTGAAGTTTTCAAAATTTTTTAATACAATGCTGACTTGCAAAGTGTGAAAAAGGCAAAAAAAGTAATTTTTTTCAAATATAAAATTTTTTATATTGTTAATTTAATTTATCATGTGCAACTCTGCTGCATTTTCAAGATATACTCAATTTCAGGCTTCATTTTGCACCCTCTGAAATTGAACCGAAAAATCTCTCGACCTTTTTATGGTGGCTAATATAATAAAGAAAAGAGTTCTTTATCAGAAACTAGTTATTTTATCATGATCATGTAGGGTCTTTGAAAACTATTTTGTTAATGTTTGTATAGTGTTTAAAAATATTCCTTAGTGCTTATAAAGTACTTAAAAAGTGCTTATTTTTTGTTTGAAGATTTTGCTAAGCACCCTGACAAATCTGTAAATCTTTTCTTTGTTACAGATAAGAATTTCTGCAAGATGCCGATAATTAATATAAAAGAGGAGCTCCTCTTCCAAGCACTTGGCCGAAAGTATACACCTGAAGAATTTGATGAACTTTGTTTTGAATTCGGTTTAGAACTTGATGAAGTAGTATGGGAAAAACCAGATCCTAGTAAAAATTTGGAAATTTGCATATACAAGATAGACTTACCAGCTAATCGTTATGACCTCTTATGTCTTGAAGGACTTTGCAGGTCTTTAAAGATTTTCCAAAACCAAATAGAAATTCCTCGTTTCACTCTCTCCTGTAAAGGTGAATACCAAAGGCTAATTATTGACCCTTCAACTTCTCAAGTGAGGCCCTATGCTGTTGCTGCAGTTTTAAGGGGAATTACTTTTACTCAGCATAGTTATGAAAGTTTCATCGATCTTCAAGACAAGTTGCATCAAAATATTTGTAGGAAAAGATCTCTCGCAGCTATCGGGACTCACGACTTGGATACCATTTCTGGTCCATTTTTGTTCGCCGCAAAACCGCCCGAGGAAATTAAGTTCTGTCCATTGAACAAAGAAAAGGAATACACAGCAGTTGAATTAATGGAACTTTATACTAATGATTTACATTTGAAGCAATATCTTCACATTATTAAAGATAAACCGGTGTACCCTGTTATCTACGACCAGAGTGGTGTCGTCTTATCCATGCCTCCCATTATTAACGGAGAACATTCCAAAATAACTTTGAACACGAAGAATGTTTTCATAGAAATAACTGCTACCGATTTACAAAAAGCCGTAATAGTTCTCGACACTCTCGTTTGCCTGTTTAGCGAATATTGTGAAAAGCAGTTTGTCATCGAGCCGGTGGAAGTCGTAAATCCCGATGGATCCAAAGTCCTGTATCCGGAACTAAATTACAGGTCAGAATCTATTTGTCCAGCTCAAATTAATAAGTACATTGGAATAAGCGAATCACCTGAAAATATAGCTGCATTACTTACCAAAATGTGCCTGAAGGCTGAAGTCTGTGAGAAAGACTCCAATATTAAAGTAGAGATTCCTCCTACGAGGCACGATGTGATTCATGCCTGCGACATCATCGAAGACGTGGCCATTGCGTATGGTTACAACAACATCACCAAAACTATTCCCCAGACTGTGACGATTGCGTCTCAACTTCAGCTGAATAAGCTCTCCGACCAGCTATGCCTTGAGCTCGCTCAGGCCGGCTTCACGGAAGTTCTTTCTTTCACTCTTTGTTCTAGGGATGATATTTCTCTAAAGCTCCAATGTCCGAGTGCCCTTTCTCAAGCGGTGCATATTTCAAATCCCAAGACTTTGGAATTCCAGGTGGTTAGGACTACTCTTCTCCCTGGCCTTTTGAAGACTGTTAACGCTAACAAGAAAATGCCTCTGCCTATGAAATTGTACGAAATATCTGATGTGGTCATCAAAGATCAGAGTAAAGATGTAGGAGTTAGAAATGAAAGGCATTTGTGTGCCTTGTATTACAATAAAAAACCAGGGTTTGAAATTATCCATGGACTGCTTGATAGAGTAATGCAATTGCTCGATGTTCCCCCTTTAGATGAAAGCAATCCCGATCGTGGATATTGTATCAAGTCCTATGATAACCCATCATATTTTCCTGGACGATGCGCTGAAATAATAGTAGGAGGAAAAGCAATAGGTTCACTTGGAGTTTTACATCCAGATTCTATTTTAAATTTTGACTTAAGTTTACCTTGTTCTGCCTTAGAAATTAATATTGAACCATTTTTATAGTTAATTAAATTTATTCTTATACAAGTTTACTGTAGAGCCCCTTTAATTTAATTCAATATTTTACTTATTTAAAGTTACAGATACGAACAATATTTTTAACAAAATTTAGTTGTAAATATATGATACAAATTGAATTTGTTTTTTCGACCATTGAAATATTGACTTTGTATGAAATAATTTGAAGATCTCTTTTTAATTGTTAAGAGTTTGTTAGATTTGTTTGTTTGAATGGTATTATCTTTATCGTCACATATTCTGAGATAAAATCTAAAATGAGTAAAAACATTATTATTTACAGTTCTTCCAATTAAATTTTTATGCCAAAAAAATGCATTATTCTAATGTATGTGGGGGTTATTTTTCTGTTGCTTCGAAATAAAAGTCCACATATTAGTAACTTATTTTTATTTTCTTCTAGACTTTTCCTTATTATTTATTTTTATTAACCAGATTTTTGAGTGAAAAAATATAGTCCTAATTATTTTTGGTTAGTTGGATTCTATTTTTAATATTAACAAATGTTTTATGTTTAACAATTAAATAAATAAATGACATAAATATATTGTTGGACTTCAAAAGTAGATTGGGCATTGTTGTAATTAGTTATAAATTTTCAGTGACTTATTCTTCAATAATTATGCAATAGTTTTCCTTGCACATGAAAATTAAGTTTTCCCAAAGGCTTATGTCAAAGCTCTTAATCTATAACGAAGTCAGTTCATATGAAAGTTGTGTAGAGAAATCTCTTTAAAGAAATATGAATCAATCTAAACATGTTTTGAATATGTTTCTGAATTAATAAAGCAATAATGAATGTGAGCATTTTGAACATGATGCATGTCTATGATAAATTCCTATGAATTGGACTATTTTCATTCAAAGTAGGTAGTCAAAAAGATATATGTTAACAATTGCTATGTAATTCTAGCATAAGTTAATTTGTTAAATACTGTAAGCTTTTTATGAACTTGAAAACTTAACTGTAATATGAATTTTTTTTTTGCCCTTTGTGATAGCAATATAATTTTGACCAAGTAAAACAAAGATTTGATTCAAATTAAATATGTTTTAAAAAAAAGTTTGTTCTAGAGGATTTTTTTAAAGAAATCGTTGATTATTCAATTATTATTTACTTATGAAGCATTTTAATATAAGATTGTTTAAAGTTTTTATTGATTTTTAAAATTTATTTTGTTAATTGGTGTTAAAAATTCTGGCACTTATCAAAAGATATTTTAAAAATCTAAGTATTCTTTTTCTGAAAGCAAATTAAGAACAAAAATATTAAATTTTTTTTTTTTATGTATAATGGATGGTTGGCAGAATTAAACAGTGACAAACTTCCTAAAGCCGAAAAGAATTTATAAAACTTCCGGTGTATCTCCCCACGTTTGTTATGTTTTACAAGTTGATATTTGAACAGGCTTAATATTCGAAAAACTTTTATTATTGTGATTTTTTTTCATCACATTTATGCTTGCTTTTATTTTTTATAAAAGTTTTTCTGTTATTTAAGAATTCCAACAGGTCATGAGTCAAAAACAAATTTTAAGAAAATTAATATCACAACGTAAAAAATATTTAATGTTTGCCACGTTTTGAGCGATATCCGTTATTTAGCTATAAGTGTAAAATATCGCCCGGTTATCGTTTTAAGTAGCATTATAGCTTGCTTGCGAGGTTTTCTAATTCCATTTGTTTTGTTGAAAGTTAAATTAAAAGAATGTGGAATGTTGTGAACACTACATGTATTATAATAATGAGTGGCGCTGTTTTCCAAGCTCAGGCATAAAAATCAATTGGTAATAGTAAGTCTTGTGACGAATTTTAACGCCTTAGCGCCATGTGTGCTTATCTTTACATAGCATCCACATTATCTTTACAGTACATAGCATTTACGAACCATCCATATGCATCTATATAAAAAAAGATTTATTAAATATGGCTTGATTTTTAATTTTATATTTAAAATTAATTAATTGTACAATTCATTGTAAAAACTTGCATTAATGTTATTGAATGTCATATTTCTTTTAAAGTAATTTTTTTCCATCTTTCCTGTTGACAGTCTTTTTTTTCTAATTAAACATATTTATTTTTATATATTATACATTTATATATACTAAGTTGAATTTGCAATTTATCTTCAAATGTTGATTAACTTGCTTGCTGATTCTTGACCTCTGGCAAAAGCTTTCATTTTGAAAGACATTGCTTTTTTTCTTCTTCCATTTTTTAAACAAATAAAATATATTTGCAAGGCTATGAATTATGATGTGTTATCTATTATAGAGACTGTTTTAATTTGAAAATATTTATCTGCTATTGAAAATAAAAAAATTGCAAAAAATACCTGCCAATTATCTTGCAAAAAGATACCTCTTGTATATTTAGAAATTGCTTCCTTTATTATGAATTCTGGAATTATGCTCACATTTAAATGACCTAAATGTCTAATCTAATGCATGAATGTAAAATATTATACTAACATTTTTTCTTCATAAATTTTTGAATTGCTTTTTAAAATAGATTTTTAAAAAATTGTTTCGCAGAATGAGATTGAATCAAGTTCAGCATATATTTTGCTTAAGGTGTGCAGCATTTAAGAATTATCGAAAAATCTCTCTACGTACTTGAATTTATTTATCATTATTTCAAGTATAGAATTGTTGCAATTGATGATGTGATAAAAAAAAAAATTTTCTTAGTTATTACGCTAATGAAACAGTTTAAAGACAATTTCAAATATTGTGACATACCGTCAATCGGCAATTCTGAAATCAGTGATTGACGACCATCACGCAATGTGCGTCAGCAGTACAGAATCGGCATATGTCTCTACAATAATTGTAGCCAATAGGATATTTGCATATAGTTATTTTCCATCCTCGTTAAACTGTTCTACGGTAAAAAGCTAGACTTCACTCTCAGGTCGTCGGGCTACCGAAGCAGGAGGGACATACCCCATGCAGAGGATCAAAGTTGCGATGGCATGTCTTCAGATCATCCTCTGGGATGTTTCTCAGACCGTCGCCAATAGCCCATTTTGCAGCTCTAGTGTGACTTAAATAAAATGCCAACCTACTGAAGAAATAAACTATGTGCAAATATCCTACTCGGTACAATTTTTGTCTAGAGATATATGCTAATTATCTACTGCTGACTCACACATTTTTAAGGTATGCAATAATTTTAACAAACTTAAACACATTTTTATCATCCCAAAAACTCAATGCGCAAAAAATAAAGCATTTTTAAATTTGCATAATTTAAAAAAAAAGAGAGATGCTAACCAATTGCAAATTCTCCAATAATAATTTTCAAAATCAGGAAGCTAATTAAATTTTAAATAAGCAAGGGTTTAACAAATGAAAAGATTCAAAATGTATGAATTATTTTGTCACACTATTCAAGTCAGTTATTAAAACATCTTGCAATGCGCATCAGGCATAACCAGTTTAAAAGCTGTTGTCCCGTAGTGCTCTGTAATTCTAAACTCTTTCAATTATTACTTTATTTAACTAATTATAATTACTAAACGGAGTTGGTGGTGGTCAAGCATTTCTAAGAAATTAGTTCAGTACTTAAAAACTGCAATATAATGTAGAAAAAAATATTTCGGCTGACTTTTTAAGTTTTCCTGATGATAAACTATTCAAATTATACGTGCTTGCATGATAATCAATCACTATTTAAAGGGAAAAAATGCATACTTTTTACACAAGAATATATTTATTTTAAAAAATATATAATGCAATGTTTTTGATCTTGTTTTTTTTTTTAATACAATATATAAAAAGTAAGATTCTCAAGGACCCCTAGGTGCTCGGGTGTGCCCATGTGTGAAAATGGTACTAGTTTGGATTATTACTAAATGATTAAAATCTGCCTATAATATCAGAATTTAACTTATGAATTCCTCAGGGGGTTTACCTTGTACTGGTAAACACGGGTGTCACTATCCCGAGGTGCCCTAGTGATCTTTTTCGTCTAGTGCCTTTTCTATTTTTGAAATGCACAATTTAATATTTATAAAGATGAAACTTAAAGGAACAAAAAAAAAAAAATCACTTGTACTTGAAAGGTTGCTTTGACTTTCAAAAATGCAGCTAATTAGGGAAGGCAAGAAATATTTGATCTCCTGTTTAGGTTTTAATTTTTCTTCCAGCTTAAAATTATGATTTTTAAAAATTATCTGCACGAACTATAGTTTCTCTTACACACTATATGTATATTTTTTTTTACTTGTAAATAAATATAATTTTTTTTCATTATTTAAGGGATCTTGCATCCCCTCGAAGTTCAACTCTACAATTTGTATCAATTTTTTTTGCATGTTTTATATATGTGCCACTTTGTTTTTGATCAGTTTACTGCAGCAATTAATACAAAAATTACATTAATTATAATCATTTTATTTACTCATAGTGCGCAATTACGAAATTAAGTTGTAACAATTGATTTTGTTTTTCAAAAAAAATGGAGATGATTTAAAGAAGGGGAGAAAAAAACTTAAATTTTTTCAAAACCTGAAAAGTCAACTGCAAACATTACAGTTCTTTAAGTTCCCTTTAGCATAACAAGATATGGCAACTTAACACAATCACTTTAATATGCATATATAAAAAAAATAATGCTCAAATAAGTTTTTCAAAAGTCTCCCAAGAGTTTTTTTTGAAGAGTTTGACAGTTCACAATTGTTCCATTGTTTCATGGCACCCGGACAGTATACAACAGAAATGTCATATTTTTGCAACGCATCGCTGCAATTTCGACGATTGCAGGGCATTCTTGGTTATGAAACCTAACGGATTGTGATCCGTTATTAGCTCTACAGCTGATCCGAAAATCTTTCACACTGCAGCATAAGTCTCTTTCAGTAGTTGGTTATGCCTGCTGAGCTTTAGTCAACTTTTGGCTGGCATAGCTGATAGGATAACAAATCCCATCTCTCATTTGAGATAGGCATTCTCCGATGGCAATGGATGAAGCATCACAAACGTCTGTCCAAGCACTCTGGTATGAAGACTAGGTGCTCAACAAGATTTTGCTTTAAGTCTCTGATTCTCTCTAGTGTTCATCGTTCCAAGATAGCTCCTCTGGGCATCGCTTTTTAGTTAACTCAGTGAGTAATTTGAAAATATTTATCTGNGTGTTATAATTTTTTTTTTTACATTTTGGTCGCATAAACTTTTAATATTGTTAAACAAAATCCTTGTGAAGCCCGAGCTTAGTTCGTTTCTACCTTAGAATACTGAACTCACTATTTACCTGATAAGATGAGTTCGTTTTTCACCGATAATGACTTCAGTCGAGTGAGGGAAATGTGGGTGGTTTTGGGATATATCATACTATATAGCACATAGGATAAAGCACGTAAAGAAGGGTCCAACATGATTGCATAGGATCTCTGTATTCCTTTCTAAGGTTCTAATAGTTTTCACATGGTTCTTCCCTCTTTAAAATGTATTGTTTATGGGTGAAAAATATCAAAAGTTTCTTTTGCTCAAGTTAGGGGGGCCCCAAAATCCTATTATGCTTCCCCTATTTTCAGAGGTTAATCGGGCCCTGCTGTATTTACGGAACTACTCAACAGACTAACGTAGTTTTTGCACCCAACACGCATCGTGCCTTTCTACGCTTATTTTCATTGAAAACGAGTTTTCGGATTTTTTAGACTGAAGTGGTTTCTGCACTCACCGATTCAATTGTTCCTTAGTTTCTAGTCTTGACAAAGCGTTTGTCAATTTGGCACCCGGACAGTATACAACAGAAATGTCATATTTTTGCAGCGCATCGCTGCAATTTCGACGATTGCAGGGCATTCTTGGTTATGAAATCTAACGGATTGTGATCCGTTATTAGCTCTACAGCTGATCTGAAAATCTATGTTTCACACTGCAACATAAGTCTCTTTCAGTAGTTGGTTATGCCTGTTGAGCTTTATGCCTGCTGCTGCGTACCGCAAACCGAAGGGCATATTGGTTTGCGGTAAGACAGTATTGGGCTCTATGAGTGGTTACTAAATAATCGATACTAAAAACCCAAAATTGACAACACGTTTTAATGACGAACAAGAACACACAAAATGCAACCACACTACATTTTAGAACAACATTTAAAAACGAACTGAGAAAAAGAAAAGCTGTCCTCTCCGACAGCGGCACCTATTGCTTAATATCTTTAACATACTGCCGGCCGATGGCCTTTACAGGACATCAAACTATAATACTTCATAAATTTTATATACAAATATATTGCAAGGAAATAATGCATAATGAACACAAATCTATAACTACAAATATTCGTTACACATCATCAAAAATCTCGATTAAATTTTTACACGTTTTAAGGCAGCTACAAAGGAATTTGCTGTTAGGTCTCCTACCACTTTCAGGTGAACTGCATTCGTTATGAAGCAGATAAAGATACAAATGTAAGTTTTTAATGGACTTACACAACGGACATCGAAAGGACCGGCCATGTCTACTCCAGTTTTTGAGAAAACCTGACCTTGGTTTACTCTGCCTCTTGGGAGATTTCCCATTATTTAAACACACATGTCCTTCCGCAATTTACAACTGGTGATGCAGTTCCGTATTGTTCACTTAATTACTGTTCTAGCATTCACTATCCAGTCTTAGCTCTTGAGTTAGTAAGGGACCTCTCATTTTCTCTGAGGATCTCACATGTTTGAATCGTAAGCACCACACAATTACTCTCAGCAATTTCTTTCATGAAGAATACTTTGACAACAATTCCGAAAAAGGTCTCCACTACACAACATACAACTGTTTTCTTTCTTTCTACATCAATTTCCCTGTTCAGAATCTTATATTTCTCTTGTTTAGACCAACGCTCCCTGTCCATATTCAAGTAACTCGGACCTTCCCACCAAAGACTGTTTTTCATCAAATTTTGCACTGCATTTTTCAATTTTGAATTCAAATTTTAAAAAGTCCCTCTACTAATTAAATCTGCAGGATTCTCCTTATCTTTACAGTGATGCCTAGACTTCAGATTTGACTTCTCCTGCACTTCCCTAACCCTATTACAAACATTGTTTCGAACCTTCAGCGCTTCCCCTTATTCAATGCATTACAATGGAAGAGTCTGTCCAAAATACATATTCAGGATTTCCTACTCGAGGTCTTATAACCATCGCCATCAACTCTAAACTTGGCAAAGTTAACTTCTTTAAAGGCCTGGTTTGTTAGAACGGATGCTTTCGATTGACGTGAGCGGTAACCTGTCGCCCTCTGACGAGAA